CAGCTAATTACACACAAGGGAATTTTATAAAGAAGTTTGCTGACTGGTTGGACCAAGAAATAAAATGGCCAGAGTTTGTTTCACTAGACATAACTGAAGAACAATCAAATATTATGACGAGTTTTGAAGATCCTTCAACAAGTATTTCAACAGTAACAAGACCTAGTTTATCAACGGAATGCACTGTTCCTCATAGTTTGGCTGTGTCGACATCAACCGCTACATTTAGTCCTCGAAAAGAATTTGCCAATTTGAGTCCACTGCAAAAAAGAAGAAGAACTGAAAATCTCATTGCCGAAAACGATTTTGAGACACTTGCTTATGCCCTGGCTAGGAAAGCGGAAAATGAAAACCAAACGGACTTTGTAGAATTAGTGAAGCATTTGATTAAAAAGCCTGAAGATGCGCCAATGCTGCGAGCCTGCCTGAAATAAGATAAGGCACTCGGTATTTCAACATCACTGAAATTATCGAAATGGCAGTATATTACATTGAGGCAGACAATGAGAGACATGGGGTGTGATATACTTCCATCGTATGATGCTTTGAAGCAAGAGAAGAAGGAGTGCTACGTTGAAAAAGAAGACATGGTAATAACTGAGACTGAAGTTAAACTTAAACTTCAGTCTATTTTAGATATTACGGTCAAGAGACTATTAAAAACTCTGGAAACTGATTTAACTGGCAGTAATTCGACTCTTATCAGTAAATGGGGGTTTGACGGTGCATCTGGGCAAAGCACAGTGTTTTATGCAACCAAAAAAATTTACACCTTAAGATTTTTGCATAAATCAATTATTTATACCCTAATAAAGGCAAGAGTTCAATTCTCAGATCACTATTTCCATTAAAAAAAAGATATGAAGTAGCAAAGTTTTTGAAATATGAGACAAGGTTACTCAGAGAACCCAGTCTGTAGACATGTTTAAGTTCGGTCTGTCTTCCCTCCATGCACGAATTAGATGCATGGAATGTATCTTACATATTGCTTACCGTCTCGACTTCAAGAAATGGCAAGCTAAGGGCGAAGATTTGAAGCAACAGTTAAGCCAAAGAAAAAAGGCTATTCAAGAACAATTCCGGACTGAAACGGGGCTACTTGTGGACGTTGTTAAACAAGGGGCTGGTACAAGCAACGATGGAAACACAGCAAGAAGATTTTTTGTTAATCCTCAAATTACTGCTCAAATAACGGGTGTTGATGAAGAACTCGTTAGAAGATTTGGAGTGATTCTTCAGGCTATCTCATGTGGAGAGTTTGTGGACGTGGAAAAATTCCGCCAAATATGTCGAGCTCTATGAATGGTATTATATGCCCTCATGCATAAATTACTCATTCTCAGCACAATAACTTTATACCAATCGGCAAGCTCTCGGAAGAGGCCTCTGAAGCTCGTAACAAAGATTTTAAAAACTTCAGAACCTTCCACTCGCGTAAATCTAGCAGGATTGCAACAAATGAAGATATTATCAATAATTTGTTAATATCGTCTGACCCATACCTATCAAGTTTCAGGCCTAAAATATGTCAACGAAATAAACCTCTCACAAATGAAGCTAAATCATTATTATTAACTTCTTGTGAAGATAAGGAAAATATGGAGTTTGTAGATGTAGGTAATGTATCTGATTATGACTTTGATTAGTATGTGTTCTTTCCCTCAAATCAAATTATATCAAACTTTGTATTTTTATTTTTTTGTATCTTTGTATCATATTAATATAAACAGTTTACATATTTAAGAACTGTTGTAGCCAATTTGAGTTCTACTAATCTTTTATACTTTAGCATGTATGTGTGTAGTAATTTATACAGTTGTGGCTTCCTTATTATGCATTATTTAATTTATGATATCAAGCTTAGTTAGTAATTTAAGTTTTGTAAATAAAAATATTGATGTTAATAATTTTGTTTTATTCGTAATGTAAATAGTTTATTTTCTCGTTTGGCAGTAACATATCAGAATCTCCCTTACTACATTTACTAATATTAATAACCAGCTAGTTTATCTGGAAAAACACTTTGTTCATTTTAAGCTTAGTCAGTTAAAGTTCTAGGTATCCCAAAATAAACATATTTGATCAAACCCTTTCTTAGATAGACATTGTAAGTGTAAGTATATTTGTTTGACAAAATTAATTATTATAGGCAAACAACGGCAGGTAATGACTGTGGGTAACCCTTTGAATTCCTCAAAACCTGCAACAATAGAGTTTGTATTGTTTATATGTAATGATGCTCTCGTTAATGGCGCGCGGCTTTTAAGCGATTGTCAAACAAAAGATTAAATTGTAGGCTGTAAAGGACTTCATTGTAATTCTTTACAATATTGTATTCTTGTTTTCTTTTTCTTAAAACTATTTCTTTTATCTATTTATATTAATTCCATATCTTTTGAATTAGGACGCTTTTATTTAAAGTTAAGTTGTATGGTGGCGTTATCTACTGTGTAGTTTTATTAGATAATAATCTGTGTTATATTAATAACTAAATGCTGGGCAAGAAACATAAACAAACTGTTTATTGAGACACATAACCCCGTAAAGCAAAATTACCCTAATAAGCATTTTGAAAAATTCGTATCTTTTGAACGGGGCCGTCCGGGGTGAAGGTCAAAGGTCACATGGCTTCGTAACAGACCCGGTAATAATCCCTATAAGTTTCAGCTTGACCGTAGAAGACCGATACAAGTTATGAGCAAAACAAATTCCGTTTTCATACATTTGAAACTCTAAAGCCCGTGCTTTATGGTGTTAGATTAAAAGGAAATTCCCCAAACTATTTTATTATTCAATGTACTGATATGTCCAATAAAACCGCATACCTTAAACGGATAATAAACATTTTTATTTTTTCAAAAATCCTATGAAAGGGGACCTCTTTTTTTCACCCACTGTGCGGCGGGGCGGAGCGGGCCGGTCAATTTCGCCGCGACCGATAGCACAAAGTGAACCCTATACTACAAACGCACACAGAGGGCAAAAAGACCGCGCCGCAGCTCGCAGGTGCCCGGCGGGCAGTGGCGGCACGGCATGTCCGCGGCTGCCCGCCGTGGATCATACAAACCAGTTTATATGCAGTAACGCAGACGGCGGCGCGGGGCGGTCAGCTCAGTCCGCGCCACGCGCTTTTTTAGTGATGGACTATTCACTAGAACGAACGTCCGGAACTGACTGCCTCTGCCCGTCGTGTGCTTTGTGTACGCGGCGAGGGCAGCCGCAGACATCGACGGGCAGACGCGGTTTTTATTGCTTCGCGGACAAAAAGCCCGCGCGCCCCGTCGTCTGCAAAGCGCCTAAGAGCTCGCATTGCGATTGTGCACTGAAAAAATACGGGGAGGAGCTTGATGGCGCAAGTGGTTAGCGCGTCCGGTTTCGATCGTTGAAGTTAATCAACTTTCGCAGTAGTCGGTCATTGGATGGGTGACCAAAAATTTACTATCTCGAGTCCCTCCGTGCTTCGGAAGGCACGTTAAGCCGTTGGTCCCGGCTGCTTCTGCAGTCGTTAGCACCCACCAATCAACACTGGGCTCAGTTATGGCCCAATCTCCCTATTCCATCCATAGGGAATTGCCTTCCCTGTGCAGAGCAGCTATTAATGTCCATTAATATTCTTATGATGATGATGACTGAAAAATGGGATGGGTGACCGAAAATTTGCAGGCACGTAGATCTCGGTTGCATCTGTTGTCGTTAGCAGTTATCGATTTGCATTGTACCTCAAGTACGAAGTTTGTCATTTCCGTACCCTTAGCACGAACAAATATTGAATTCGAATAGTTTGCGAGTGCGAATTGTCATTGTCATTTGTGATATTTTGGTATGGACGAATTGCTATAATTATCAGTATGAAAGTACTGTCATTTATGTGGCAGAATACAATATAATATATTTACTGCGCAATCGTACACAAACATGACAATTTATAATGAAAAAGTTTATCTCTCAGAAAAATCAACTTGCATGAATCACATTTAAGTGCACCTAGCGACATCTATTGTAAAAAATGCATTTTCTTGACAAATAAAGCTGCCACCTGGACGTCCTAGATAGAGACTTATTATTATAATACGAATAATACGAAATATAATATTACTATGTTTCGTCCAATATATTGAAAGTTTACAACCTTTTCAATTTTATTGTTTTCGTCTTACGAATTTTCGATTAGGGACACGTGGTCCCGACGTGATCAGGCCACGTGTCCTGACGCGAGTTTAACAGTTTTTTTTACCCATTACAAAAAAAGTGTACAACGCCGCTAAAGAAGTTTTCACTTCAAAAAAGTTTTTTTTTCTGGAGTATGTTTTTTACTAGTACAGAGTTCAAAATGATTATGTAAGTTTTCGTTAAGCATTGCTTAGAGTCAGTGCGGAAAGAGAATGCGCGTGGCGAAAAGTGGAACTAACATTAAGATTTTTATTTGGCAATCAAACCCAGCAATCTGTAAAACGTCAAAGTTTTGTATTGATACGGTTTTGTTTGTTGTTGCTGTGATTTCTTGCGGTTTTTTGTATTTAATTATGTCTAAAAGGGGTAAAACCTTACAAATACGGTAGCAAAGCACTACAGCTCCCTCCAATCTAAATCCCATTCTCTTTACGCACAGACTCTACCTTATGTTAGGTTATCTAAGAAAAAAGTTTTACTGCAGATGTGTGCTCCGTGCACACTAATATTTTTTTCGAAATGACGAAAAAGGAACGGTTTTTTGATGTGAACATCTTTCCTCTCGCTTTTCTGCAATTTGTGGGTGTGATTTCGTGAAATGGGACGGAAGTGTGCAACAGGAAGTCGCGAAAGCGCGCGCTGTTTGATTTGATTTTAGAACATAATGTTCAAATGGCTTATTCCTGTTGTAGTAGGTTTTAATTTTTTTTTAATTAATTTAAGGTGCGATCTCAAATGTTACACATCATACGCGTCTACTGTATTTTTTTTATTTTACATCATGTATTCCAACCAGTGGTAATGAACAATATTTTTTCTATCATTCACAGAGAAATATCCGGAGATTAAACAGCTGTTCGGGTACGACCCCCTGTTCAAATGGGTGGTGACCGCCATGGTGCTGATACAGTTCATCACGATGCCCATAGTGCAGCATCTGTCATGGCCCGTTGCCATGGTGATGGCCTACTGCTTCGGCGGTGTGATAAACCATTCGCTTATGTTGGGTGAGTAACCTGGATGTAAGATTCATCACACTAATATTATGTTTGTTACTTCTTCACGTCTAAACGGCTGGAGCGATTTTAATAAAATTTGATATGGAGTTAGCTGACACCCTGGATGGAAAGGGTAGATACGGTATGCTCATACTAGCATCAAATGAAATATGATCCGACTCAACTACATAAGCAACTCTCACACACGCACACGTCTGTATATAGACATCAATCGAGCGAGCGAGATAGAACTACACGCTTCAACGCAGCGTATTGTTGTCCTTTTCTTGCTTACAAAATAATATTCACGACAAACCGTGATTTTAAAAAAAAAAAGTTTTTACAGTTTTAAGAATGAAAAGCGTTGCTGGGGCGTTTGATTTCGAACTATTTTGTTCTCTATAAAAGCATCAAAGGCATTGTTTTATCTTCATAACACAGAATATACGCAATATCGTTATATTGAGTGTACATGCAGCGTGTTTGAATGTCCAATTGTGACTAAAGCGAATTATGGTCGTGGACCACAATTTAAGGGGATCATCACTATTGAGCCGCGAATGCCGTATCTTCCCTTTTTGTTTTAATCTAAGCATAGGCTACCTTTTACTGCGGCAAAATATCTCCATTAAACCGCGGGTAACACCGCGGGGCACAGCTAGTCATCATATACATATTCTTCTGCCCCACTTTAGTGATTTAAGTTTTATCGGTCTGTAGCAAAAATTAATTTAGGTTGAGCAATAATTATATTTTTTTTAAAAACACGCGAAATAGTTAACAAGTCAGCTTCAAAACTGCGTAAAAGCTTGCTCAATGTCACATTTATGTTTACCCGTCAAAACTAAGAATGCTAGTTGGACCGATAGATAGATTTGTCCGAAAGTGTATAACATTCAAGTTATTTACGCCGCCCCCGTCTCTCCCACTTCCTTCTAATCCTCTCCATTCAAAGGTTGTCTGGAAGAGATCGCATTTAGCGATAAGGCCGCTCGTCTAGCCCATCTAGTGTAAACAATAGTAGATTTAAATGGGTTTGTACTCAAATTAATATTTTGTGATGTATTATATTATCAGCCTATGTCCCCACTGCTGGTGCATAAGCCTTCCTTAATGGAATACTGAGACAGGCCGTGACCCACCACGCGGGCCCAGTGTGGATTGGTGGGTGCTAACGAATGCAGGTGCAACTGGAACCAATGGATTAACGTGCCTTACGAAACACGGAGGAGTTCCAGATAATAATTTTTTGGTCTACCATCTGATCCAAACGCGCGTGGTCAACTCTCCGTATCTTAGCCTACGTCTCTCCGTATCCTACCTTAAGTCTCTCCGTATACTAGATTAGGTCTCCCCGTGTCGTAGCTTACGTCTCTCCGCATCTTAGCCTACGTCTCCGTATACTAGATTACGTCTCTCCGTGTCTTAGCTTACGTCTCTCCGCATCTAAGCCTATGTCTCTCCGTATCTTACCTTACGTCTCTCCATATACTAGATTACGTCTCTCCGTGTCTTAGCTAACGTCTCTCCGTATCTTAGCCTACGTCTCTCCATAAATCTTAGCTTATGTCTCTCCGTATCCTAGCTTACGTCTCTTCGTATCTTAGCTAACATCTCTCCGTATCCTACCTTATGTCTCTTCGTTCACGCCCCTCTCGCGGCCTGCTTTGCCGAACGTGCTGTCCATAAAGAAACTACCCCGTTTCTCTATGGACAGCACGTGCCGTCACACAGTAGACATCATCGAACTGAGCGTATTGGCGGTAAATTCAAAATCATTAAAAATAAATTCAACTTAAATTACTTTTCGTTTAATGGAGAAAAAAAGCCATTTTTTTTCTGTTAAATCCTTTGACCCAATCTTTAAATATAAGCAGTTTTCAAAAATTTGGAAAATACCCTATTAGCCTAGCCCCAAAGTAAGCACTGTAAGATTTGTGGTATGGGATACTAGGGTAACGGATAGAATACATATACTGATACATATATAAGTATAGTTATAAACTAACTAATAATTAATAATTAAATAAAATAAAGAAATACATATGAAATATCCATGACTGGAGTAAAAATGCTCGTATTCTTCACTCAAACCCCCCACCGGGATTCGAACCCGGGCCCTCTCGAGCAGGCGACACCTTAAAACCCGGCGTACAAACTACTCGGCCACGGAGGTCGTCTTACCTATCGGTCGATCCCGGTCGATGTTTTATAAGTATTTCTGCTACGACCATTATTCAGGGATTATAAACACCTTTACCATTATAGTACCTTTTTTGTGTCTGGGAAATGCCTTACGCATCCTTCAACCACTGGGGGAGCGAGATGAAGGTATGTGGGACTCCTCCCTGCCCACTTCAGCCAGCCCTGAGGCTCGCGAAGTGAACAGGTCCCTACCTACGCCCTGAACAGGGCCATTAAAAACCAGACAATACTCCTGCACCGTCACCCGACACGTACTATGAGGACCGCGGTCCCCCTAGTGCGTGCCAAGAGGGCGGGTGTTGGCTCGCTACCTACGCCCTGAACAGGACCACTAAAATACCTACGCCCTGAACAGGGCCACTAAAAACCAGACAATACTCCTGCACCGTCACCCGACACGCACTATGAGGACCGCGGTGAGGGCGGGTGTTGTCTCGCTACCTACGCGCTGAACAGGGCCACTAAAATACTTACGCCCTGAACAGGGCCACGAAAATACCTACGCCCTGAACAGAGCCACTAAAATACCTACGCCCTGAACAGGGCCACCAAAACCAGACAATACTCCTGCACCGTCACCCGACACGCACTATGAGGACCGCGGTCCCCCTAGTGCGTGCCAAGAGGGCGGGTGTTGTCTCGCAACCCATAAAGTTCCTACTCGAGTGTACACAATTACAAAAGTTAATTAAACTGCAACGTTAGATAAATCGTATTTGATACAGTCACTAGAGTGGCTATTAATTTATGATAGCTTATCATGAAGATAAGCCATTCAATCTAACACCTGTTTCCGATTATGTGAACATTTTGTTTGGATTGAATTAAAGCACGTTGTGATGTTGCCAGAATTATGGCAGTCTTTATAAAACCTTTAAGAATACTTAAAGGAACCCTAACTTTTGATGTTTTGGTGCTAAGCTAAACTAAGTTGGTAAAGTAAAGGTGCGCCCAGAGTTCAGATCAAATAACAAACAACGTTATATAACATAGTTATATAACTTGTTATACAAGTGTGTTATAAACTTTCATCAACAATTCTATAGAACACAATACTTGTAGAATTCTTATTGTGGCTGTTTAAAACATTCTTTCGTTTTCACTTATTTACTGCACATATTTTGTTTATCCAACATGTTTGATGCAGGTATTGTGTACAACATGTTTTATACATTTAAGTGTGATGTATTGAGGAAGCTCGATGGCGCTGGTGGCTAGCGCGTTCAGCCGCGATCGTTGAAGTTAAGCAACTTTTGCGATGGTCGGTCATTGGATGGGTGACCAAAAATTTTCTATCTCGAATTTCTTCATGCTTCGGAAGGCACGTTAAGCCGTTGGTCCCGGCTGCATCTGCAGTCGTTAGCACCCGCCAATCCGCACTTAGCGTGTTGGGTCATAGCCCAATCTCCCTATTCCATTCACAGGGAAGGCCTGTGCCTAAGCAGTGAGGACATTAATAGGCTGATGATGATGATAAGTGTGTACAAAATCTAAACATTGTATACAATTTGTTTATACATGTATCATATACCTTGGTTTCTATCTAGGGTTGCCACCTTTTTTTGTCCAAATAAAGTACATTGGATATTAAAGGTAGAAAAAAAAGTAAATTGTGTCCAAAATAAAGTATTTTTTATTCCACTTTATTAGTAATCTTAAAAGTATATTTTACGTTGCTACTAGCAACTTTTAATAAATAATTTGCGGCTACTGTAGTTTGTTTCCGCAATGGGAAAAGTCGTGATACAAAGGCATACAGCCACGAAAATGTTGAGGGAATTTGCTAAGGGTAAATTAAAATATTCATACTTTCTGTCCGTTTTACGCAAAAATTCTTCCTATCAACCTCTTTCTGATATTTTATGTAAAATTAATCCGCGAGTGATCAAATCACATGAAATAAAGTATTTTCGCGTACCTACTTTATTGTTGCCATAAAGTATAGAGTACAATTACCCGAAATAACGTACTTTACTTTATAACAAAGTACGGGTGGCAACCCTAGTTCTATCGCACCTTAACACTGATCCGCACTATTCCACTATTGCTTCATTTGTTATTGTGTAAATCGGGTATTACAAATGTATTAATAGGAAAAAGGTATGAGTGAATAAATACGATAACAACATCAACAATTCCACCGATAACGCAGTCAACGCACAATGGGAAATAACCTACTTCAAAATTAGTCACATACTTTGAGAGGATTATCTTTTTTCTAGTAAAATTTTCTTTACATTTAACCATCTAGTATTGTAGTTGAATGCTTATTAAGGTGAACGCAGACTTGGCCGCACTGCAGTCTCCGCAGTCCCCGCAGTCATCGCTTTGTGTTAATGGCCTCGCACATCTATCCGCACCGCAGTCACTGCAGTCGTTCCCGTCGCCGCACGCATCGCACTTGATTTCTTTCATTCAGTTGATGCGAATGACGTCATCCGCGCCGCGCTAGCCGCAGCGTCCGCTGCGTGCGGGCCGGCGTTCGTGACGTCAGCAGCTGCGGCTTGGGGAGTTTGGTTGTTTCAGGGACTGCGGCGACTGCGACGCGGGTAGGTGTGCGAGGTTGCATAGAACTTCATATTAAAATTCGAATGCGGCACGTGCGGTGCGGCCAAGTCTGCGTTCACCTTTAATGAATGAAAAAATAGTGTGCACGGAACACACACATCTGAAGTGAAACATCTTTTATTAAATAACCTAACATTAGGCGGTGCTTAAGGTATAAGGGAATCGAGCAGCGCACGCATCACTCTCATATATATATCTAGTCAGGTCATAAATTCTGTCACATGTTTAATATAAAA